AGCATTCTCAAAATCTGTAAAAAAGGTTTTAAAATTATTAAAAAATTTAAAAACCTTAAAAAATTTAATCCAAAAAGTATCCTCTAATAATATATCTCTAGATGAAACATCCCAATAAAATAAAAATACAATGACGAATTTAATATTTGATCAAAAATCCAATTAATCCGACTCTTCTTTAAATTACCAATTTAAACATATATCCTAAATACCCTAACAAGGTCCTTTATAATTTTGAAACATAACGATATAGGTTGTATACCGAAAGGTTGGGAAGGTCTTTGAGCGCAAATGATTGGCGTAGAGATAGAGCGGGGGAACATTTTGCGGCGTCTCCAGCTAAAGTTTGATTAGGAAAGTTTGCGGATTTCTAGTCTCCCATATAGTAACGATATAAGCATGAAATTTTTTGGCCAAAAACTCCGGATGAAAAATTTTGACCGTGTAAATAAGTCCACAACAAGTTGGTCAGTAAATTCTTTCCCCTAGCAGCGTTACACCCGCCGGGTTATAGTACCGCGATATATGCGATAGTAAGAATTGTGTTTGCAACAATTTGTAATATAGGTAAATTTCCCATATACTATAAGTGGGTGATGCATATGCGATTTAGGTAAATAGGCTTAGGTAAATAATTGACTCTGTTGAGGCATATAATTGATTCTTGGTTAGACAACTCTACTCTTTTGGCTAAATGGATTATGTAATTAACTCTGTTGAGTACATTATTGACTGGAGTAAATAGTAATTGACTTTATTGAATAGGTGATTAACTCTGATGCTGCCCAAAAGCTGATGTGAGTTTAATATGTATATTATAGGTATCTAAAATACTGATAAATTTGAATTTTAGTATCGCCAACACACAAATAAGCCTATTTTCAAAAATATTTCAATCCATACATCCATCAAAAACGTAATAGCGCAGGAGTAGTGTACTTGATTTATCATTTTTTATTACTATTCAGTAATATTTGCTAGTAATTTTCCTTCCTTAAAAATTTTGAAATATCGAACATATTCCATTCCATATTCCGGAGTGTTAATTTTTTTATTAGAAAAGTTGATTACGGCAGGAATTAAGGAACCGCGCCTTCGTTCTTTGTTTCCCCGGGCATCCATTCTTCATATTCCCGAATTCGGAATTTGAACGCAGAGCCGTTTCCAGATCATTATACACCGATTAACTAAATATAATGATTCATTTATCTACTTAGTTCACTTTTATTTGCTTTGCCCAATTACATTATTATAACTTGAGGATGTCCTTTATCTCCCAAGACGGTCATTTACCTAAGATATCTGTGAAGAAAAGGGGTATATTTTTATCTAAGAGGAGAGTCAAATTGTATCTAAGACAATTGTTTACTTTTAAGATTCATTTATTAATTTAAACAATTAAATGGTCTCTATCTTCATAAAATAATGGTTTTTACTTAAGTGTTATTGTTAGCTAATTTTTATATAGCTAATTTATGACAAAAAAGTTAATTTTTTACAATGTAAATCATTTAATTCTTCCGACAATTTCTATTGATTATTAAATATTAAATTGAAAACCTCATAAATTTTGTAACACCATTGACAAATAAGCCTTATCAATCCAATTTAGAATATTTATTGCAAACTTTTCAAAAAAAAAGGTCTCAATTGTTAATTGTTTATAGAATATCTCGATGGATAAATCGATTGTAGGATTGTATGGAAATTCATCGTTCTCTTCATAATCGAACTCACCGGGGGGTGTAAATATAATTTAAAATTACATCCCTTTTGAGGAAATAAAACGAACAAAACAATACAACCGCCCCTGTGCGCGGGGCTTTTCCACTTCCATTTTCCATTTCTCGGATACGAAGCGGTAACGCCGCGGAGTTTCCATCGCGTCGGCGGAGCGGAGTTTCCATACTTTTCACGTTCTCTCCACACGCCACCCCCGGTTTTCATTTTCCATGACAATTTGGCGCCCGCCGCCGCCGCCGCCGCCGCCGAACCGGCGCAAAATATACGACTCGAGCATTATCGTGGATTTTCGTTCCGTATTTTCCATTTTATTTTATGCACAGAATAGGAATTGGCGACGCTGGTTTTCCGACGGAACGGAGGCCAATTGCACTCGAAATTCCAAAACGCTCTTAACTCCCACTAGCGATGTTTTCTACCGTTTTCAATAATAAAGAGTATTTTGAACAATATAATTTATTAGAAGATAGTATTTTTTCACCATTTCAGCGAAAACGTTTGTCAATTTATGGCCATTAGAAACGATTTTATCTTGCGTCAATTATATTTGTTTGGTGAGTATTTTGGCAATTATTTCCTCCAATGGAACTCCTTCAGAGCGCATCTCCAACCTCCTGGAAGTGCTCTTACAAAATTCCCCTTCGTTCGTGCAATACACGCTCGATCGTCGCTCGGTTCTTTTTGCCCCGAGTTTCTTTCGCTCTCCCGTTGAACATTACGTTAAGAAAAAGAAGAAAAAAAAAACCGCCTAGCGTACGGGAACGTGCGCCTCGACGCCGGTCGACGTACGGCTCAGAATGGCCCGCACCGGCGCCGTCCTCGCCGCCCAGGATTTTCCGCACGCCGTCGCCAATGGGAGCCCGCGGAGACGGAGCGATCGAAGGGCGAAGAGGAAAAGCGAGCTAGAAAGGGACGGTCGTTGTACGTTGACGAGGACGAATCGGTTTCGGGTCGGAGAGGAGCGGAGTGGAAGGCTGATACTCTTTTGGGAGCGCAGTAGCGTACCCGGTGAAGAGGCTGGAGTTGAGCCTGGATGCGGGTAGTACGAAGTGGAAGGAACCGAACTGGGAGATCAGGCTAGATGCAATTAAGATTAGGAAATGGAGGAATTGAAGCTACAAGCTTTTAGTGTGGAGGCTGAGGGATGGAATCTGGAGGAAATATAATTAGTGAAGAAGGTGAAGCGGGACTATCGAAAGTCGAGGCTAGAGGCAATTAAGATACTTAATGGAGGAATTGGAAGAAACTGGACCTAGTATGAGGCTTAAAGGTGGAGTTTAAGACATACTAAAACTAGTTTAAAGATATAGAAATGGCTGTGATGATGCTGTAAGACGGCATCGGGATGAACTGCGTCAATTATTATAAGGCAAGGTAGAGAGTTAGAATATGATTTAATATTGGAATCAGGAGGGATATTCCAATATTTCTAAGTATTTCTAGCGCGTTGAACCTTTAAATTCGAAATTAATACTTTTTGCATCAATTTCGATACTACTCACAAGTAGATTTATTTATTATACCGGCATCAGAACATTCTTGTACGAAAAAGAACGAGGTAAACTTTAGCACGAATCGACGAAGTAAAACAAAACTTAGGATATTGAACAATAAATTATTCCAATAAAATATCGAATAAATTAAAATTCTTGCGTAATGAGCGCGAAGAAACGCAATTAACGGGGAAGGCTACGCCGCTGCGTCTCTACGAGGGACAGAAAGATAAAACTTCGTGTGAAAGCGCATAAAAAGAGCGAAAGCGATGGGGCCGGGCGAGCGCGAGAGAGACGGCCGGTTTCGTAGGCCGAATAACAGTGGAAAAAGGTCGACGAGGTAGCGTGGGAGAAGAGAAACGAGAAAACGCCGTCCGAATGCCCGCTTTTGCTTTATTCCCTGCGCTCTTCGTTGTCTCTTCGATATAAAAACACAATGAGAATTTAACGTTTTAGAATTATAATTAAAAGGTACCTTTTTATATGGAAATTTCCGAAAAACCACCACTGTACTTTTCTGGTAATTTTTATGAGAACTTGAATTAAAAAAACGGAACGAAATCGGTGCATAATTTTAGAATATATTTACAGTTTTGTTCATATAATTACAACAACACGTACAATTCGGTACTAAAAACTATAAAACAATAACAGGCAAGAGATACAAACAGCCTAGTGTAATTTTTAGACTTACCATTTTTACACCAACTCGCAAGCAAACTATTTATATGTACAATAATTTAATAATTGATTATTCAATTCGAAAAGAGAACATATTATTTATTCGTGACGATTTTGGCACAGTCCAAATCGAAATTAATACATAGAACTTTTAAAATACATCTCGATATAAAAATATCTAATATATTGGATTTTCCGATTTAAAAAATTTTACGTGCTTTTTTGCTTATAAAATTGAAATGAAACACGTTTAGGTACAACAATAAACACATAAATTAATTTTGTCCCTTTTCTATATACAGGACTTAATCTAGCAAGTATATCACAAATTTATTTGTTTTAATTGGAATTACTGTCGTCATCACAATATATAATTAAAAGCAAATCATTTAAAAAATATAACAATAAATGCGTTTTATTATCGATATTATACGAAGTTTTTCTATGTCAAAATTCTCGTTTGTAAATTTCATGGCTTATTCATTAACCTAAAAACAATTTTGATAATAATTCATTAAAACAAAAAAATTTAAAATTTGACTATTGGTGTAACTTTTAAATATATTGCATAAATATGTGTAGTAACAATTTAATAATAATTTTGTTTATTAACGGTTTATAAGATAGTTTTTACTACACATTTAAAATTACCAATTGCGACAAACGTAATATACAGCTACAAATAAATTATAATAAAAGTATACTCGACATGTTGATCCGAAAAAAATAACAACTTACAGTCGTTCAAATAATCGTTTTTCTAAAAACAAAATAAATAAACGAAAACAAAAATGCATAATTATTGCACACACTGGACACATAGGTAATCGAATCAGTCTCTTTATAGAATTGTTGTAATTTTGTTTCTCAAGGAAGGCACCTTCACCTAGCATTTGGGTATCTGTTTACTACTAATATCACAAATATTAGATAAAAAAATGTAAATCCGGTAATGTATAATCGACAGAGCGCAGTATAAGCGCAACCCATTTCCACGAAGCCTTTACGAATTTCCTCCGATCGATAGAAATAAACGATTAAATCGATTGAAAATCGATCCGGGGTAATTCGCAGCGAAATTGTTCACACGTGCGACTCCAATACCTTGAATATGGAAGTATCGGGCGAGCTTTGCGGCCGCGTCCCGATCAGGTGCTGCCTCAGAGCCACCACCACGTTATCGGGACCGATCAGATTGATCTCGAAGAGGAACTTATCGCGCCGCACGGCGCTCAGATCGGGCGAACTCGTCCGCAGCGACGTCCTTTCGCCGGGCTCCTTGTCCACGTCCTTGCCGCGCCGCTTGGCGTCCATCGCCCACGTGATTTTGTCCGGGTCTTTGGTGCCGCCGACGGTGTGCCGGCGCTTGATCGATCTGTCCGGCTGGCCGGTTTTCCTCTTGTTCTTGGCGGCGTTGTCTTTGAATCGACGATTGCTCAGGTTGATCTCGCGTTTCCTGTTTATGTTGCTTTCGGTTTTCTCGCTCTTGCTCAGGCTGTCGGATCGCTTCAATCGATCGCCCTTGTTGAGGCTCTCCGATCGCTTGAGCTTGTTGTTGCCGCCGAGCGGCGAACCGGTGCGCTCCGGTCGATTGAGCGATTCGGATCGTCTGAGATTCGTGCCGTTGGCGTTCGACAAGGCGGCGGTTTTGGTGGCGGTTCTGTCGTTGTCCGGCGCCCGTTCCTTGGTGTCCAGCTCCTTTTCGTTGTCGTTTTTGTGCTCCTTCTCGGATTTCTTCGACGTTTTGAGTTGGTTCTTGTGTAAGCTGGGGTTCCTGTACAAATCACTAGCCTGCGGTATGTTTTCTTTGTCTGGATTCGATTTTTTCGCGTGTTTCTCCGGCGAATCGTCCACGTAGGGGATGCCGTCGCCGGATAAGATCGTCGGCAGATCCACTTTTAACCGTTCGTCGATCAGTTTGGTCATTGTGCTCAATAAGGATTCTGAAACAAACAATTAGATATTTTTTAGAAAAAATTTTCATTGAAAAAAATATTACGTAGCTACAACGCACGAAATTCCTTAGTTTTTATTGGATTCTAAGTGATTCGGCAACACAGCTATAACAGTTTTGTATTCGGTCGATTTATGAGGTTCAAACAAGAAAGAGCTAAACAATCAAATATACCTATTTATTATTAAATAAAATTTCTTTGCTGTTGTTATGATCTGAGCATATTCGGAGGAAAATTTAGATATTAATAAGTCAATATTGATTACATTCCGTTTAGCGTTATAAATTGACGAATAGTTTCGATTTTTTTTAAATAAAAGTTAGTTCTAATAAAACAGAATAATGCATATTCATATTTTCCCTGAAAACTACATCAAAAAAAGTTAAAAATTAATCTAAACTCTTTATATTATTTAATAGATAAAAAACCAGCTTTGGTAGAGGTTAGCGTTAGCACAACAGTAGAAGCTTTTATCCGTTTCAGATAATAACGAAGAAGAAAACTAAACTATATGCGATTTATAAAGTTAACGTAAATAATTTTTATTTTAGAGTAATTAATCACATTTTCTTCTTTGCTATTAGCGTTGCCCAAGAGTGTTCACACATTGTACCTCTTGTTCTTTTTTTATATTCTGTTGTATAAATGACGAGTTCTGGGAGGTCTCTGAGGTACAACATTGGGTGGTTTCACTGATCTCCACCCTCTTATCGGCGGAAAGGGTGGATTACTTCCTGTTTATTAATAAAAATAATCGAACTAAATAACTTTGAACGAATTCAAAAGACATTATTCAAAATGAATAAAACTAAATCTATTTTGGTTTGAATTAACTGTGCTTACCATCATCATTCGAAGCTTTATTAAGAGATTCTAATGAACCGATTCTTTGATTTTCACTCTGTAACTAAAAAAAAAAAAAATTGTTAATATTCAATGTAAAATAGTAAAGTTCGTTAACCAACCTCATTTTCGTATCTAACTTTTTTCCCATTGGAAACGTCCGAACTGCTTAAGTTTACGTTCTCTATCGAACCGCCTCGTCGAATATTACATTTCGTCCTTTCGTTGCAAACACTATCACTGCACGCACTATCACTGCTCGCGGCTTTTAATTGTTTATCGTCGTCGTCGGCGCGCAAGAATTTGAAATCGTCGCCGTTTTTGCTGTACCGCATCGAATCCATCAAAGCGAGGCTGTTGCGATTCGGCTCGGAGACGTTGCTGGCCCTCGAAAACACATTCGTAGCGCTGTGAGTCTTCATAAGGTGATGGTGGACGTCCGGTTTCGAGACGGACGGTCTCGAGTTTCGGTTGAGGGTGCTGGACGATGAGCTGAATTGTCGTGGATCTGACGATGAGGAAAATATGATGAACGAATGATGATAATTGGATGTAAATAAACTTACCTAAATTGCTAACGGATATTTCTGTTATTCTGGGTAATTGAAGCATCGATTCGGTTTCTTTTTTGAAATTTTCGATTCTCCTGTAGAAGTCGTCTTTGTCTGACGTGTATTTGAAGAAAGGATCTTTGTTGCTGGAATTTTTCTTTTCTATGTCCGTGACGGTCGTTGGAATATCTGGGGATTTTTCGTCTGGCAGGGAACACTACAAATACACAGTACATTAAATAAATATGAATGTTATTAATTAACAAACTATTAGCTAGTATACCAATTAACCAATTAACAGTTATATCGTGATTTTCTTATTTTATAAGATTGTGTATTAGCCAAAAACTCTCATTATTTCAACTTGAAAAGGCTTTTTGATTTTTTTGTTTTGATACAGTAGTTTTTAGGATTTGAATAATGGTAGGTTTTTAGTGTTAGTTTTGTCAATTTTACTTACTTCTTTGAGATCTACCGGTGAAAACGATTGCGAGGGAAACACCTTAAGGTTAGTTGGCGAAACAGCGTCCTCTTTGGACTCTTGCACAGAGCTTTGAGGTTTATTCGTTGTCTTTTTAATTTTTTTCTTCCGCGCTGCCGATATAATGGATGACAATAGAGCGCCATTTTTTTCTTTATGGTCCTTCAATGCTGTAAATTATAAAAAAACCGATGAGATTCCGACAAGATAATTTTAAGAATTTAATGTAGCCGTTAGTAATAATGCCGGAATAATATGGGGACTATGTTTGAGCAGTTTTGGCATTTTTGAAATATTTGTCTGGATATTCAACATTCGATGAAATTTTTAGAAGCTTACAAACAGGAACAAAATAGCTAACATTGCATTGAAAAAATCGCCACAATTACTTCTAAACAATCGGTATGGATTGTGAAACTTACTTCCGCATTTAGTAATATTATTCAATAATAAAGTTTGATTGTTCGGATCGAATTCATCGGCGCAATCCGCTAAGCTGCTATCGGGTATCGGTAGGTTCTCTTCATTTTCATTTTCCGGAAAAAACCATTTCGTCTGAAAAATGAACGAATCAATTTTAACTTTCGAAAATTTATTCGAATGCAATGAAACACTTACATGATTTAACCAAGTTTCGACGATCCTATATTGACTATTCATATCGTTTACCATACTTTGCATGTTTCCCTCTTCCGATCTGACGATCGTAGGACCGAAAACGATGGCCAAATTCTTCGAATCCATCTTATTACATTCGCAATTGTCGGCCACTCTCCTCAAATGCTCAACGATGTGCTTGAGCGTATAGTAATTGTGCTTCGGCAGGCATCTGAGCAACTTTCTCAGCTGCTCCATTCGCTCCGTGTGATTTTCGATTTTATCCGCCTTAATAAACGACGGATACAATTGAACGGTGATCAGGCTGTCGGTCATTTTCCTGAAATACGATTTCAACAGGCTACTAACGACGTGGACGTCGTTCCATCGGGGATCCGTCGACGGTACGTCCTCGTAATTTCGATTCACTTCGTCGGCGAGCGCCGTTATGGAAGCGTTGTTGCCCGGCACGCGGTATATACCGACGGTTTGGAGGCCCTTCTCGTCGATGATGTCCGTACAAACTTCCACGAACCGCGGCAAAAACACGTTCCTATTCGACGGTATGCATTCCTCTATGGGTATCCCGAACGTGGATCCCTCCGGCGCTGTCGGGCTGCTCGGGCTGTTGCCGCCTTGGTTGAACTTCCTGAATTGCTTGGCCATTCGGCCTCGCCACGTTTTCGATTTGGGACTCGTTAACGTCGACGTTTCGTTGGGCAATTGGGATGGTTTTCGACTTTTGCTGACGGGCGATTGGCCGGTTGGCGAGCGATTTCGGGACGCCGTCGGCTTCTGTTTGTTCAATTGCGGGGAGAGATGGTTGCCTTGAACCAGGATGGTCGTCGAGGCCGGCGTCAATTGCGGTACGGCTCTTTGAATGCTGCTGGAAGGGTCCTGAAATTCAATCGGGATGTTCAGTTAATTTTTTAAATAATCTTCCTGTAAGCAATTCAGCGTGGGAATGCCGAGTAATTTGATCTCGTGCGATAGCCAAAAGGCCTTTTAAATATATTGAAATCTCATAAACCTATCTTATAAGTTAGAAGAATACTTATAAAATAATATTTAGTGATAGTGATAAACTATATAGGTACCACAAAGGTTAATTCTTTGTATAGAGAATAAATTAATATTATGTACTACAGTAAAACATGATTGGTTTAAATGGAAAATCTTATACATTTTTAATGAAAATTATATGCAAAATTAACTCACCATATAGTCATAGGAAAAAAAATACTCCGACATGATCACCTTATAAATTAATTATTGTAGATCGAATCTTATCTAATTTATTTAATGTCATTTCGAGATAACTTTAATTTAATATCTTTTACTTAATAACGTCATTTGCAATTACCGATGTTTTGAAGATGTAATAAATAAGATACGTCGACTAATTTATCATCTATTGTTACGGCAAAAATAAGGAATTAGTACTTATCATTCATTTTTCATGAGGGAAAATAAAATCGTCGAAATGGCCACGTTTTTAAATACCATATTTTTTTTAATACATATACAAATAGTTTCCGTAATAGCGGTAGTTCTAAAATAACACGGTGAAGAAACTTTACCGCATTATTGGGCCACGATGTAGATAAGCTTACCGATTCGTTTTCCGCTCCGCCGGCGACTTGATCCTGTAACGTTTTGATCCAATCCGCGAAATCCTCCGTGCTGTCGGCTTGCAAAAGAAACTCCGATCGGCATGGTTTAACCGATACCCTGAACACGTTCTTCCTTTTGGTGTAATCCTCGGCGACCGTCACGACGCTGGTGCGCATATCGACGCCGTCCGTCAGTGATTGGTCCAATGAATCGAGTGTACCAACAGGACTCTTTACAAAACAATATGCGTATTTTTGAAAAAATATTCGCAGAATGGAAAAGAGTAATATGCCCAGGTGTTTGAAAATTGAAACCAAAACTTGAAGGAATATCTTACCCACGATCCGGTCGAACCCCATCTTCTTAGTTTCTTGTGAAAAAACCCGGAGGAAAAGTTGTTGTTCAGAAGCATGGGAATGCAGGAAAACGTTCCTGATTTGTTCCTTTGCTGGACGGAAAAGTACCGTTGGGGTTCTAACATTGTAGCGCGATTTGCAATCGATTGTGCTCTATAATTTCGCGTTTAACGATGTCATTATATTGACGAAACGTCGCAAAAGAAGAAACCCAAACAAGGGTCTAAAGTGCAACCAGTTAGTTCGACGCTGAGCGAAAAAATGACCTACGTAAGCAATAAAATCGAATTTGGTGCATCAACAATCAAAAGTTGAATTGTATGAATTATTGAAAACATTCCATCCCAAAAACGAAAATGCCAGGAAATTGTTTTGTAAATGTTTGTTTCAAATCGAAAGAATATATGCGTGTGCGTATGCTAATATTTATCCGATAAATTCCTTTACTATATCCAGCGAATAATTAATTAATTGCAGCAACGTAATTATCAAGTAACTTTCATCATTTATACTATTTTATAAGAATATTTCGAGCGAAATATACAATCAGCGCATTAGATCGAAATAATTTTAAAGACGATTTCTCATCATCAATCAATTATACGAACGTTTCACTTTTTGATATAATCTGTAATTTCTTTTATATCGATTTTAAAGACAAGCAGATATCATACATATTACATTCATTAAATATTTAACCCTTATTTTTTCACAAAAAAATCAAAAATCACATTTCACAACATCTACTTACGCATCGACACAAAAACAAATGTACGTGCAAAAAATGTATGTTATCAGGATCAATATTTAAAAACTTTTGATTGATTGACTTCTCCACGAAACGGTTAATTTTTTCCTTAATTACACGAACACTAGCTGCACTTGTCCAATGCACATTGAACTGCAAAACAGGGTTGCATCTAAAAATAGCGAATTGCAACAACTAGTCTAACGAGATTCTCCGGTATATTAATGAACGTACTCGTAGGTGTCGCGAATTTAAAAACCAAGTGCGCTCTTTCGATTCCTTTTTTTTTCTATGTAGTACCGTATAAGCGTAAATCGCGCACTTTCTTTTCGTTTCATTCAAATTTACCGCTGCGTATGATATCGTAAATGTTGCTTGCGAGTACCGATCCTCCGAAGAAATCGAAACGAACTGTTTTTATATTTTATTCGAACGCGCTTGTTAACAGTACGCTCGCCGATCCGGTACTACACTACCGCGAAATGTCTTCTTTTTTTTTCACTTTTCATTAAAGACCGAGATGGGTACCCCCGGGCGGTATGCATGTGTGCGACGATACCCTTATTATTATTCGATGGCATTGTTAGAAAACAGCTGGGGTACCACCTAAAGGTGTACGGCACGCGACCCAAAGACAACGCAAGGACGAAATAGTTTTCTTTCAGACAATTCGTTTCGTCATTGTTTAGAACGATCGGTAAATGCATTACAAAAATTAATTAGAAAAATTCGGCGATAAATGTAGGGAGAAGATATTTATGTACATGCAGATTATTCGTAGAAAATTGTTTTCTCTACACTTTTATTGCCTTGCAACGTGGCAAACAAAGCTTCAAAAATTATTATAATATCAATAATAATGAAAAAGAAAGTAATGAGAGAGCAATAAATCATATAAAACTATGAATTTAAAATTGCTCACACCTATAAAAAAACCGTTGGTGAGATTTTACTTTAGTTCAGGGTGGATAAAAACAACAACCCTCTGTTGATATGTGTAAAAAATTTACACTAGATAACCCCAACTGTCCACATGGTTCAGTGGGTTCGTAGGCATATGGACTTTTCTTCCGGTGAACCATATGGTTACCTACAGGGTGTTCCAACGGTATGACACCATAAGATATCCCCTTTATTATAAGGACGCTAAAAATTAATTAAGAAAAATTACTCGTATAAAGCAACACAATTAAAATTATTTTGTCTTATATAGGATGATTCGTTTTTCTGGTAAAAATTAAATAATGGCTATTTTTTATTTTTACAGATTGTCTTCTTACATTTAAAAACTTGTTGAAGTAGGTTCTGTAAGACTTTTGAAGGATTCGCTCGATTTTTTTGATTATTTACTTTATTATTAATTAATATTTATTGAAGCTGTATACACCAAAATATAGAATTTATGTAAGAACACTTCATTGTTTTGTAATTATAAATTCGTTATAATTTATTATTTCAGTTAAAATTTATGAATATTTTGTTTAAATCATTTAAATACTTAATTGTTTTTTGGAAGTACATATCTAAATATTTCTTAATTATAATGATTATGAAATAAACAAATACTATAATAAAATTATCTGTTTTTCCGAACAGACTGAAAAATAAGAAAAAAAATTGCGAGTGACTGCTCAAATTCACGTACGCAGAAAAATATTCCAGCAGATTAATAATGAAAAAATAAATTCAACAAACAAACGATCAATTAGACGTCCACAAAGCCAATTAATACCTATATAATTGCGATTAAAATTCTCGTCTCGTTAAAAATGACGGATAAAGCGCAACCTAATTAATATTTCGCCCGTGCATAATCGGAAGAACGTGTCGCAATTCGTTAATTATTTAATTATTCCGAACGCCTTGTATGCGTTATAATTTATGTGCATTTGCGTAACGCGAAGACGTAACGGAAGTTGCTATATAAGCACGTCCAGATTGAACTCCGAGGATGTTTCATTGTAATGTGTATTCGATGGTATTTCGGACGGGGTCGGATCGTCGCAATACGAAAAGAGCGATTCGCCATTAATTAATTAAAAAAAATATAGCGTTGATAGAAATCGTTTAGTAAATATCATTGTCAACTGAGCGTTACGAACTAATGAAATATTTCAATGGTTTCGGAAGATTATTAATAGTTGGAATGGTCATATAATATGGTTATTTTAGCCCAAATATTTTTTTGCTATTGTAATAGGTAAGATATTCCTTCTGGGTAATTATATCGTCTAGACTAGTAGTCTTGTTTTCTCGATTTTTCTATCTCCCACTGTCAATAAAGTGCATCTACTCTTGTAAACACGACAAGATAACACAAAGCCTAATGGCCCAGTAAAACAGACAAAACAAGCCCAACAAAGGTGGAGTATAAAATTTGAAATATTTCTTCCTCTCGGTGAATAAACATGGTGGTAAAAACATTCAAAGAGACTCACCTGGTGATGATGCCTGTCTCTTTTGAGATACAATTTCGGACCCTTCAAAATCACTGTCGCTTGTTTCCAAGATCTATCGTTCGATCTCTGAAAGTGAATATGGAAAAATGTGTATCTTTGTTACGTAATTTTTTTTAAATATACTCGAAATCATTTTAGACGGTTCTTCGCGTATTTCGAAACTTCGAAACTTCGAAACTCACCTTTCCGTCGATTTCCAGTATCTTACAATTCAAATTTCCCTCTTTGATCGTCACCGCCGCGTCCTTGCTGTCGACGGCGGGACTCGAACCGCCAGAAATTTTTTCTTTGTCCAAGGACGCGTTGCTGCTGCTGCCGCTACCCCTGCAAAACGAAACGTCGATAAATCGAACCGGTCGATTAAATCGTGAAATTATGAATTTTACGATGGAGTCGCAGCCAACAAACGCTGGCGAAATTCGAGTTTCTTAATAATGTCGGATGCTTATGGTTGCGACCAAAGTCCTCGGCCAACAAGAGAAATGGTCTTTGTTAAATTTGAGTAGCTATGGTGCACATTATTTATGTAATTAAAACTGGACAAATTGGTGTAATAAATTATGCATAATTTGTAAACAAATGACTAAAGTTTAAATATAACTTCCTACTACTTTTGGCTTATTTATCGGTAGTATCCAGATATACAAGGGGCTACCCCCAAAGGGTTAATTTTAAATGAGACTATATTTTTTGCATTTTTAAAATTTCCTCGCTGTGCTGAATTTCTACATGTAATATTAGCTTTTTGCAATAAATTTCAAATATTTGTCTCATTTAGTTCCAGTGATAATACGCTATTGTTGGAACATACCCTGTATAAGCATAGTTGATAGAAGTGATAATTATCTGAAACTTATCTGATAAACATTGGTCCAGTTTTATTAAAACATAGAAGTTAGTTTTGTTAGTAATGTTTAATTGTCAATAACATTTATAAAACAACTTTCACAATCAACCTTATTTTTCTCTACTATTTCATTAACCGATTAGATCACGGATCATACACAATTTTTTACAACAGTTTTATTGTGTTTATTGCAAAGCTATTTCTTATAGAATCAATGCAAAAAACAATGAGAATAATAAGACCGACGAATTCGATAAAAATCTGTAAACATAAATGAAAAAAATAACTTTCTACGGCTAATGAGTTATTACGTTATTTTATGTATCAAAGAAGACGTTTTGTCAAATTGCATAATAAATCTGACGGTTCGTTGGGCGAGATTTCCACGTACCGTAAACGCATGAAAGTGAAGTTAAAACGTGGTTTTTATTAATTAATAAGAAAAGTAAAAGCGGTTTTTTATTAAGTAAAAAATAAATAGGTAGTAATAATTCTGCCTCTAAGGATAGCTCTTATAGAATAATAATAACCTTTATCAATACTCAAAACAACATAAAAAACTAGTAGTAAATATTGAATTGTAGTTAAGAAAAAGCATACGGAATATTCCGGGTTAAGAGCGTACCGGAGCTCTCGCGCAACCAAATTTCAATCTTATTTTAATACCTTATAATTTATATATAATTTATATTTATTTATGTATAATTTTATTATACACTGAGCTTCATTCCAGATCTAATATTTAATAGAAAAAAACTTCATAAAAACTTCATCAATTTTTTGTAATAAATGTGATACTATTGTAGATATCTTTATGAAATTTGGCACATGTCTTCTATGATTCAAGATGCATTTTCTGATATACAAATAATGTTTTTTTCAGCAGTGGTGTTCTTTCGGGTTTTGCATTGAATATTTTTGCCCAAGAATCACTCAAGAATTATGGAACACCCTGTATAGGTTATAGGTGCGATAAAGACAATTTGCATTAGACACTTATAAAGGAAAAAGAAAGAGTGATATTTGTGTCATTGCAACTTTTCATTCTGACAACTGTTATTTTATAAATCTTTCTTTGTTCAACTCATAGAAACGACCATGCCGCTCACAAGCTACTCGTTTGAAATGCAACACAATAATGCTAGTAGTTGAACCGAAAACCTAAAAATTCGCGGGGGAGCACATTACAAGGGTTTAAAAGAAAAAGGTGGGAAAGCTTTTCATTTAAAATATACAAAACTATTTTAAAATATAAGACCAACAAAATTATTTAAATAATCTATAGAATTGCGACTACTCTTTCCTAAAATTTATTTAAAAAATTTCAAGGAGTCTCTTCAATACAATTATTATTTTTAAATAACTCCCCAAAATTTAATAAAAACCTGATAAAAACTAAATATTCTAGAAGAAAATTCAATTTTATAGGTGTCCGGTATGTTCTAAGATGTGCTTAATTTTTCTGTGTATAGTCCTTTGCAAGATATAGTAGAAAAGAGGAGCGAAAGATTAGGGATTATACATACGTTACAAATATAGGTTTTTTATGGAGTATATTGGCATTGACCACGAGTGGATTTTGACAATTTTTATAAATTATTTCAAAATAGTGTAGGCTATAGTTTGGGGCAATGATCTCGTATTTCATGTTTATTGTTATTCTGTCGTAAAATAACTTTAATTGCATTATCAGCAATAGAAACGGTTTTATTTGCCCGCGCAATGCTCGCTTGGTTGATCACCGGTAACGTTAAGATGGGAACAAGTTTGACGGGAAAGTCTCTCATCACAAAGGGCAAAATTTCCGAAGAGAGACTGTCGCTGTTTATTTGAATTTTTGGCTAAAGTATATTTTACGAGTAGAGAGCACGGTGAAAATTAATCATGGATTAACACCGCGCAGCATTTTATAGATGTTGGTATGGTGAATCTAGAGGGAGATAATTTAAAACATTTTTGGTGGAATGTTTAGGCCAAATAATGTCAAATAACAATTGAGCTTAAATATTCCACGAAATTTTTCTTGTGACGAAACTGTATTAACAACATTTAACATAAAAAATTGTGTTAGTTAGGAAAAAAGGATTAATTAGTAGCATGAAAAGCGATGATTAAAAACGTCGTTAGGTTTTTTTTAATCGTGCTTTGTAAACAACCGTCTCACCCCAATGAGTAGGCCGCGTCTTCGAATAATTTTCTAAGTTGTTGAATATCTCCTGGAAATAGCGGCGGACGCCATCGCCTGTGCGCACTGGCAAGAACACCAAATAATCACCAAATATTGCAAATAGTGCGAGGAACTTGTTATCAATAATTTTCGCAAAGATAATTAATGAAAATTTCAATTATTGATCACTAGTTCTAAAATTTAAAAGTCTATGAAGCGTTTAGGGCTTACCTACTATTGCAAACAATAATAATTTATACAATAACTCTACTTGTTTAGGCAAGAATAATTGTTGATAAAAAAGGGAAAAGAAGTAATTAAATATTATAGTCGATATGTATCAAGTTAAATACATTTTAGTGCGTAAATCATACATTAAATTTGCAAATTCAGCAAGATATATGTATATGGATATTGCAAATTTATAATAAAATCAAATTAACAAACGTACCTTCGTATAGCTTGAGGAGATATGTCTCCACTATCGCTGAGGTCGCTATCGATGTGCATTCGTCCACCCTCCGTAGCCTTAAGGTAGGATTCTCTTCGAGTAGTTTTTTCATCGTCAACTAAAATTAATTAGTAATGTTTAAAAAAAAGCTAAAATACAAAGGATTGTTTGAACATATAGAAGTTGTCACACAAGGTTACTTGATAAATTGTGCCGATTTGAAACTTTTGATTAAAAAACGAGCAAACTTACCAATATTAGAGTTCGTATTTTTTGGTCGTCTTTTTACCACTGCTGGAGCTCCATCACCTAGAAATAGAGTTAGGAACTGTACAAAAATTACATCGTTCATGAAGATTTTAATTGTTTAATAAATTAGTTAAAAAAGTATAAAATTCGAAAGCCAAACCACCAAATTAGATTAGCGAAAAGTCGATGAAAATTAGTTAAAGGCAATTCCAATCGTCTCCAATTCCAATTGATGTTATAACTAATCGGAAACATTAATCAATACCCGACGATTTTATTTAAAAATTCTTATCGCCCACGCAACAAGGATTAACAATAAACTGATATTCATTTTTTTACAATAAAATGATTAATGTATCACATAAAGAGTAATATTTAGTCAAAACGTGTATAATAAACAATTTCGTAACAGATAAACAATAATTAAGAATATATTTTAGCACGTAGTCCATGTAAACAAAGAAGGAAAATCCAAAAAGATAAAATTACGATCATTTGACCGGTATTTAGAGATATTTTAATGGACTATTCGAATCTAAAGGGTTAGTAATAGATGTAGAATTAATATCAGGTCTTACAAAATTTCAATATTTCTAATAATTTTGGAACAAGAGTTATAAATGCGCAAAAATAACAGCATGTGGTGTAATTTTTGGTGCACTATTTATTGCACATGGAGCATATACAAAACCCCTCAAAAAGAAATTAGTGTTGTTTAGAACCATTAAAATCTCCACCTGGCAAACGTTTAAGTTTAGTTAAAACTTAACTTTAAGGAGGTTAGTAAATACAGATAGAAACGAGCATTAGAAAGCCACCGGTCATACCAGGCCTGAAACCCATTGAATTCGACTCACAATACGTTCGTGTTAATTGCTTGGGCTGCTTAGCCACCCCGTCTAGGTCCAATTGCGTCGGCCTGATGGCTTTGTTCGAACATGGGGTAGTCAAGGTTACAACGGGATTCAGGTGGATGTATTCGACGGATTCGGGAATTAAGGGTGGCAAATCGCCGTAGGGGGGATTTGAAGGAGATCGTCGCAGTTCCGTTACTTTTACGTCTGGTTCTAAGAAGAAAAATAGAGAAAACAAATTTGAAAATTGAGGGAAATACCACGGCAATAAAGCTAGCGAAAGTTCGGTAGGTTGTGAATGGCTAAAGTGGTGAAATTTAATAAAAGAACGCGATATTTGAATGCTATACCGAGTGTTAGAGGATTCACTATGAATGTTTTAAATCGTTAATTTTGTTCACGAGAGTTATTTCAAGAATATTCCATAATTCCAGTGATTCCTTAACACTTTGTATAATAAAATATAACATCTTTTTTAACATATTGTATTATTCTAATATTCAATACCCCCTTTTAATATGAATTACTTGATTAAAGAGACACGAACGACAGTGTTTAACTTTTTTATTTGTAATAACAATAACCTATGGTATCAAGAATTATTAATCAAAAGAATTGTTTAAAGGAGGCGATGAATAGGTAACTATTCTCAATGTACGTTTGACGAGTACAAAAACTAGTCGGCTAGAAAATATTCAATCTAAAATTATTTACTCTTCACCTAACGACTAGTTCGTGAACTGGTTAAATGGTAATGAGAACAATGCTTATAATATTACTGAATCGATTGATTACCTGACTTTTCATTCGAATTGTCTTTTAACCACCTATCGGCTAGAGCTCCAACAGTTGATTCCACTGAATTCGAGCGAACTCTATTCCTTGGCGTTAATTCTATATCTAAACAAAAATAAACTTAATAAATACATTGTTATTTTAACTAGCTAAATTAGTTATAAATCGTTAGTATTCCCACAACAAATCCACGACAAAAAGAAAACTATACTTTGTTATAGACAACATCGCTAAGTAATTAGTAAACTATTTTTTATTACCATAAAATTGAAAGTGGTAAATAGATGAGGGTGTTAAGCATTTTCCTTGGACGTTTTCATCACTTTTTAGAGTAAATAAGGCGTAAAACTATTTCAGTGATAGAAAAATGTTGCCTAACACCGTTATAGATCCACCTCTTTAATTTTATTTATACAGACAGCTATCTCATTGATAAAAAATAATTTTTACACACACTAAACTAGTTTTCTATGCTAACCACATTACTGGCAACGATACAAACATTAGGAAAGTAGAACATGGAAATCCTACTCTTTATATTAGTTCACATTTAAAATACCTATTTTCCCGGCACATTTTCCTACTTATTAGTCGATGCGAAGCGACATTTACAAGACATTCAAAAATTTCTAAGGCGCTTTATATCTAACCTGGCGGCGGTTTAACCGCTCCATTTTCAGAGGGCGGTGGACAATGCAAATATTTACTTCCGCTGGAAATCATAACGTTTCCGGAAAGTTTTTTGCCGCTACCGCTTCCAAATAACACTTCGTTGACACTAGCGCTGCTCGCGTTACTGCCTACACGCGTATCAAAAAAAAAAACGACAAAATATCAAAAGAAATTCGATGAAAATGTGACAAATAAAACCACATTTGGCAAACACAAATTCTACTACTTTGTGAAATAGTTCTGTAGTGTATTTCAAATGATTAATATCGCTTTGATACGTAATTCACCCTTTAACTTGGGTCCAAAAATTGTGTTTCATATTATCCATCATATTGTCCAAGTATGACACAAAACCCAGAAAACCTTCACAATTGGCGTTTGGAATTCGAATAATTTACCTGAACTGTCTAATGATCGACTGTCCCTTTGGATACGTTTCAATACGGAACTGGACGCGGAATTCGCCGACGTCGAGCTGGCGTCCTTTCTCGGCTCCGTCGTCCTGGTCTCGTACTCGTGTGCCCTCTCGGTGACGTTGGGTCTAAGAATTTTCGAACTCAGACGGGCCAATTCGCTTTTGGAGAAACCGGCTCGATTCGATTGCACGGGATCGTCGTCGGGCAACGGCTTGCCCGATTCGAACTCCTTCGCCCTTCGCGAGACTATCTGAAGGGGCGGAGAATATACCCTAAAAATGATAAATAATTGTACAAACAAATTCTTAGAACATCGCCCAAACTCACCTTCCGTCAGTTCCATAGTATGCTTTGTCAACAACGGAACCGTTCATAACGTCATTACAATCGTAACCGGCAGGAGCCGTAGAAGCTTCGTATATTCTATCTACATTCGAATTATTATTGTCTTTTCCTTTGGGCGAGGTGACGCCTCTCGGTTGTGGAATATCGCTAGCAGCGCCTCCTCGAGCCCGGTCGTTTCGTTTATTGCGTAGGTCCCTTTCGTTGTCGATGTCTTGTTTGATTCTGGCGACGTTCTGGTGGCTGGGCCTCGGATTCCTCGACGGGGAATCCCTGTCGCGTTCGACCGCAGCCGGCGGCGGTGGCGGCGGCCATTCCTGCTTCTCCAGCTTCTTCGGTACGCCGTAGAATTCCTTGACGTTGGCCGGCTGTCGCAGGAAGGCCTCCTTTTGCTGGACGCTCTTGCGAAACCTGCTCATGATGACCGAGTCGTCGGTGTCTTGGCCGGTGAGCGTCGAATTCGAACCGAACGAATTTAGGCTGTCTTTACTGCCGTCGGCTAAAAAAAATTTATTTCTAATTAGATGAGATTACTTTTAATGGAATAGTGAAATTTAAAGTCCAACTACACATATTTTTAATATTGGAGTAAAAGTCTTACCGGTAACTGACGAACAGGAGGATGTGGATTCCCGTCTTTTGGTATTCAAATTCGAATTGGCCGTTTTCGGATAATCGCCCGAATCCGGGTTGTAATTGTTGTTCCTATAACCGGTCTTCATATTGCCGTACTCTTCGGGATCTAAGCTGTGAAATTCGGCAACGTAGCGATCCGAATCGCACAATATGTTACCTTCGCTGGCTCTACGACCCATTTTATTATACAACGGGACCTACATTTAAAACACAAATTTACTCGTATGCAGTGTTATTGTTAAACGAGTGGATTCTACCTGGGGTGCGGCCCTGGACCATCCGGTCCTTTCGGTGTCATGAGGAGCCGCCTCGTAATGATGTTGATGATGATGCTGATGGTAGTACTGGTCCCTATGATTTCGCCTGCGAGGCACCACCGGTTGCAGGAGATTTTCCGCGCTGCGCGGTCCTCCGGCGACGAACGGGTGTTGCAGCGTGTGCCACGAGAAGGCGTCCACTTGAAGTTCGTGCACGTGGGCCAATCTATTGGCGATGATCTGCTGAGCCGTTCGCTTATCGACCGGCTGTTGAGGAATATCGGCGAGCGCGTTTTGATTGGACGCCGGATTGTAGGCGGTATCAGAAAAAAACTAGGAGAAAATTTTTATTCATCAAAAAAAAAAATAGATGGTATAAAGTAGTAGTTCTCTGATCATCTTTCATTTTGCAATCGCTTAATGCATGTGGAGAAATAGGATGGCGACAGTGCAGCTTCATTATCACGTCATTAGATACAGCAGGTAAACTTACCCTTTGTAAAACGTCGTCTTCTTTGGGCACCACCAGAAGGTGAAGATACTCCGGACTGTTGACGATTAATTGGACGACTTGCGTGTACGGTTTATCTTTGACTATGACACCGTTGACGGCAACCAATCGGTCGCCTCGTTGTAAACCAGCTTGTTTGGCGGGACTTTTTTCTTTTACGTGCTTTACGAAGATGGTGTCCATCGGCGTGAGTAACGCACCCACGGCTGCGTGTCTACCGTCGAGTTGTTCCTAGGCGATAAAAAACGTTCGTTTAATAACGAGTATTTAACATTATGGAAGTAATTATTGTGGTTAATTACCTTTACCGGGTGGCATTCATTTAATTAGAGGGGATTATATTTTTCCAGTCATATTAAAAAAAATCTTTAGCAACTAGTTCGTTTTGCAGGATTTCTCACCTAATAAATATTTAATAATAACTGATAATAAAATGAAATCTCATTAATACACCTAGGTAGACACTTCTAAAACGATTATTAAACCGGTCCAATGACTCAAAGAAATTATTTCACATTCGCAGATATAAAATTTATATAGTTTCCTTTTGTTTTATTACCGTCGTGATGTCATAGTTTATACCTTCTTACTGCCAAACTTCATACTATAATTATTTTTATGGGCAAATTTATTCTATATTTAAACTTGTATTCTACTTTTGTTTAATGCCACAGCAGTAGTTAAAACTTGAAACGCAGAAATTCCTGCATTTAGACATGCTTTCTGTCGGCCGTAAAATTGAAAAAATTGAAAATGTAGGTAATAAAGCACGACTCGGAACGATATACAGGGCGTTTCAATAGTAATGATTAAAATAATATTAATGATAAAACAAATCACATAAAGTGATAATGAATCCTCTGATTCCTTTTAAATAAAAGCCAGTTATAATTATCCAGTAGTATTTAGTATTTAAATACTTCTACTAAAATGGGTTTGTTTTAAGCAATTAAATAGCTATAACTTTTTGTATATAATTTGTATGTAATTATTACAAACTCTATACAAAATTATTCAAATACCAAATGAAAATTATATACTTTTAATAAATCCATCCATATTGGGGATTATTTTTATAGAATATAATCATTTATCGAGATATTTAATTTTTAAAATGTATCTCTAAAATTTAATTAATTTGTGTATTTTATATAGTATTTAATGGATTTATTTTTTTTTCAGTTTGAACACTTACCGCAACGGAATCCGGAGGGTAGACGATGAAATGTCGTAAGGTGAAACCAAAACTGTCGCCATATCTTCTAATGAATAAACTTCTCGGCCCTTTACTGCCCCTCGGCACAGGAATTATCCCGGTTGGATTCTGCAAGATTTTGTACACTTGGATTAACGTTTTGTTTAATAAGTAGGCGTATTTAAATTTAAAATAGATTAAATTACCCTTGTAAATCAAAATTCTTTGAAAATCATTGACGACTCTTTAGAAATCATTTCATCCTTTTTTATAAAATATTTTTTATGAAAAATAAATCTGAAATATTTAGTTTATGTAAGAGGTCGTTGGAAATCGAAATTTAGGACATCCTGTATGTACATTCTACATAATAACAATAAATGTTCGACAGGCAGGGTGAAGGTCATATTGAAGGCCGTTAGCACCGCACAATCGACAGAAAGGCTTTTAAATTTATACAGTGTGTAAATTTTAAATACGATGCAAAATAATTTACACAAAAATAAATATAAATAAACGGTGTCCTTATGTGCACCACATAAATATGCATCAATAAAATTTTTTGAAGAATTCATAAATCAAAGAATTGAAAATAATTGAAATATGGAAGAAAACATCAAACTTTCAACATATTCATGCATGTATTTCGATTTCTTTTCCATCTTTATACGAAAAAAAACATGAAATTAAACGCATACATTATTTTTTTGTTTATCTGGGTGAAGTGTCTTCGACCTTGAGGAATGTACGCACGTCTTCTGATTGCCAATTAAGCCAATTATTTTCGGCATTTTTGTCTTACTTAAGCTCGTGAAATACCGATTTTGTAGACCACACATGGATTTTACTTGGATAATTACATATACAGGGTGTTTCATACGTAAAAGGAGTAAATATCTCAACCATGTGGTATAAATGGTTATTACTGTCGCCCTTAACAACCGCATAACATAATTTAATCCGTAAATTATAAAATTAACTTAAAATAATTACATCATCAATAAAGCCGGTCTATTCTTTAGAAGTGAAGTGAACCTTATTAAAACATTTTTATAGAGTCTCTTCGGTTTCTTCGAAAACAAAGATGAGAAAATGGGACTTTTATATTTTGTATGTTAATTGCGTTTCAGCAATCTTTTTTTATAATACCATTACCCAATGTTACAACAGGCTCGTTGGAAGAAAAAAATTAAAAAAATTGGCGCTATCCATTGTACGATACGGAGTACAGAGTCACGATTTCGTTCGTTATTAAACAATCGGTGTGTAGGCCATTTGATTAAAGATAATCGCACAGCTATTGCTGGCTTACATAAAAATAGATAACGTGGTTTTAGTAAATTTAGTAAAAAAACATAAAAAATATTGAGGAAAGTATGAAATGACATATTTACTTTGTTATTGTTAAATGTTTAACAATAATAAGATGATTCTTTAGAGCGTTTTCACACGGTGCAGCAACAAATAGCGTTTATAAGAATTATTGCATTGCATATTGCAGCAATATATTGCACCGTTTGAAAACGCTCTTAATTTAACAATAAGTAGGAATTATTGCATTTATTTTTTAATTTTTGGGAAACACCCTGTGTATGGTAAATTTCAAAGTTATGATTTCATTAGTTTCCGCCAGTCTATAACTAATGAAAAAAACTCAATCATTTCAATGAATTAAGATTTATTATTTTTATATTAATAAGCAAGTACTCCTCAAAACGTAACTGAATCATCTAATTATTTAGCAACAAAAATATTTTGTTCGCCTATAAATTTAATCGCTTTTTTGAAAGTAATCGATATTGCTAATTTATTACAAAAAAACAAAGATAATGTAATCGGATTTTTTTTCGGCACATGTACCTCGTTAACAATAATTGTAACCTTGGTTTTGCCAACCGGCCACTGGTCATGACACAGATTAATCGTTCGTTAACGGTTAACTAAAAGCGATCGATTCGAGAAAACAAAAGGCTGGTCAAAACAATGTTCACAATGTTTTTTTGCGTGTCAACACCATTCCGATTACAAAAAGGAAGTTCGCTAATAAAATATAAATTACGAATTGCAATGTTGTTCGTTTATATTTGCACGAGATGAATTTAAATTGATTTCCTAGAAATATTAATTATGCAACGATAAAATTTGATCAAATTAACTTTACAGTTTGGCAAATTCTGAAATCTTTAAATGCGAGATAAATTGATGTTTTTGTTGTTAACTTGAATTGACTTTGATGGCAATGCAATAAAAGAAAAAAACCTGCAATTTATAACAGAAAAAAATAGTGATTAAGTTTTTAATTTTCATTGAAAAGAATCATAATGTAACTAAACATAGAAAGGCTGTATCTCAAGATTTTTCTCATCTTAAAAATCGTTATGTATTACCTACAATTACTAGAGAACAAAAAAGCAGCAATTCGATTCGTTCATTATCTCAATAATCGCGTAAAATTTCTTTTCGTACACGATTTTTATCGACTTCCGCTAAAATCGCTTTCTAAAACGATCCAACAAAGCGGTTTTCCATCTTTTACATAAGACCCCAACGTTTCAATCAAGGCATTAGAAATCAATCAAGCAAACCACTAAAATCATTCATTCATTCTGCGACTCGTAACTGGTAATGTACACACGAGCAAGAAGGAGTTCCTGCACATTTAGAGAACGTTAATTGAGCATTTTATTGTTTTAGGGGAAATCTGGGCTACAATACGTGTATTTACATTATAACAAATAGCTGTAATACGATAGGCAATTATTGAGCTTGTGCAAACAATAAAATAAAAGTTAATGTATTTTATAGGTAGAGCCTTTCCAGCAATAAACGATTAGATAACAGTAGATAATTAAATGAGCTGGTAGCATACAATACGAGTATATTCACCGATTTTTATGTACAAAGAGAGTCAAAATAAGTTTAAACCTTTGGTCATTCTCGACATATGACATTTTTTTAATTGAACATTTCTTATCATTCTTATCAAATATTTAAGTGCGTTTTTCATTATGATTTCGATCAAAACAGTATATTTAAAAAATGGATAAAGTGGGAAAATCCACGTTTTATTTACTCTACTCCTTCCCACAAAGATTTTTGGTTAGTGTGCCAGCACTACGCTCGAATTTGCAATGTCTAATCACGACAAAGAATCTCGAGAACAGCAATTTTCTAATCAGTACAAACAGCAAACGGGAATTGCTTGGGCTTTGGTTTTATTTTTGCAGCGTGTCCCAGTTTTCAGTTTCCTGCTAGTTTTCCCTATTTTACGAATCATTTACAGTATAAAAAATTGAAGTTATCACTCACCGGAAACCTGTGCCCAACTTGCGCTTCCTGCTGTCTTTGAAATGTTTCCTGCAAAAATAAATAAAAATCGACTTGAAATAAAAGAATATTCTATTAAATTAGTAAGAAAAACGGGATGTTTCATATGTAAACACCCTGTATACTTTCACCGATAAACATTTTCTCAGGTCTCGTGATTTTATGGGTTTCGTTTCGATTTGTTTCTTTCAAAATGATTCATTAAATCGCTGAATTACGAGATAAATTCGCTCGAATGTATCCTGCGTAATAAATGTACGGGAACGCACATCAACAAGAGAAATTATAGAGTGGGAAAATGTTTTATGTGTTTAGAGATCGGTCCAGACAAATAATCCGCTTTTATTGAGCGCGTATCGAAAAATGCACCAAAAAGCCACAGAAAAAAATGCATTGAACATTCTTACAATCGACCTCGATTGTTGGCAACGTTGCCAGGTCAAAATTTTAAATGATTTTTCAGTATTGCATTTTTTTCATATTCAAAAACCCCATTACAGATTTTTGGACTTTAAATGGATAACAAAATTCTCTTTAGGACGAAAATGCGAAACGGAAATAATGAAAACGTTGAGTCAACCAAACGAAATCCACTTCAAACCAGCATACATATGTTTGTAGGTAAATGTAAATACGTACAGTACTAATTAATTTTGAATAACATTTATATTTGGCTCCAAGACGATGTAATTAAGATAGGTACACTAAATAAATCATCAGATAAAATGTCGTTTAATTACGTTATTTTTAATTTAGTGAAATAACAAGTACACACATTAATGCGTGTTAATTAAAATATCTACAGGTTTTATTCAAATTAGACTAACTGAAATTTAAATAATTTAATAAAACAAGCTGAGTATTGGACAAAACATTCGAGTTTGTCAGTGAACTATCGATCCTTTCGGTAGAGTTCAGGTAGATCATTAGACAGTTGCGTTGGTGAAAACCTTTCGCACTTTCGTTTTTTAATTAACCAGACATTGGCAATCTACCAATCGTTGACCTCTTCGGAATCGTAATAGCTTTACCCATAACATATGTATGAGTAATGAAAGAAAGTAGTCTGATCAAGATTTTTTTAAAGCGAATTAGCAATAATGTATGCAAAAAATGCATTATAAAATAAAGTTTATTACTAACATATTTAATCAAACCTTATTTTATAGAGTTCGTCTTAAGATCATTCGAATTTTTTGAAGATTTTAAATTGTAGGTAGTTTTATTATACAATAAAGCCACAATTTAAAATTTGTTTTAATTTATTTAATAAAACACTACATATTTCAGAACCAAATTATATTAGAATATCCTAGACCTGAATTAAGGGCAACTTTTAATAATTCTTTACGCTCTACACTCTTTAGAATTCACCGGAAAATTGTAAAGTCCGGTCCAAAATGTACCGTTATTGAATTATTCAACCGATTTTATTGGACTGACACCTTTATTATTACATACAGTTTACAATAAAATTGTTCTACACAGTACGTAGTATAGTTCTACATACAACAAATGTTGCATTGAATTTTTAATTGAGAATACGACAACACTGCCAGCCAGTCAATTTTCGTCCCGTCGAGAGAAGCAGTAGCGAAAATAAAAAGAAAACAAAGTGGAAGTCATTCATGCGTTCCAAATGGAATATGCGATCGGCAAAAGGCCTCGATTTGAAGCGAATACGCACAGCAGTAAATCATAAATGAAGGATCGCGAACTCTCGTCGTCATCGAAACGTCGAAATGGTTTCTGTTATGTCCTGTCGTTTCGATGAAGTCGAGTCGAAATAAAAATAATCGAAAGTTTAACTTATTGGAGGATAATCAGTGCGTGACTCGATCTAGATTGCGAACTTTGAAATTAAACGGTTGCTTCATTTCTAATTGGTATAGTACAACTAATTAATAAAATAAGCAAATTCTGCACGCTTTTCTGCTCTGCATTTCTATCATGTAAATGGTACAAAAAAAATTTCCTTTATTATTTTGTTTTATTGGGAAACTTAGATTTACATTGTTGCCGTGTGTCTCCCTACCTTTCAAAATGTTAGAATCCCATTTAGAATCTAAATGTCAAAAACTAAACAACTTCTTATGAGGTAAATGCTATTGTACATGAATAGCAAATATTCATAATTAGGGATTTTATTACAAAATGCAGATTGCCTTGCATACAAAATTAACTTTTATGAACAAAATATCAAAAATTGAAAAATTCCAACATGGACGTTATTCAATCTAAATGTGCTTATTAATCCCTTAGAATCCCATCAGATAATAGATTCACCAATTTCCTCTTAAGAACAACTAATGTAGAGAAAAATTATGTTAAATCATTTTACACGGGGTTCTGCTATACTACTATTCCCTGTATTTTTAGTAAATGTAGTATATGCATTGAAAATACCGATAATAACGCATTGCTTTATCGCATACTGCATGTCAAACCATCCACATCGAAGCTTTAATCAAGCTGTGGTATGCGCAGTAATCAGTTTTAATACGTAATTTTGTAATTGATTCTCCTCGTCGGATTCGCCGTTCTAGACGAGCAAAATCAAGGTTATGTTCGATAATATAATGCATTGTCTATGACAGACGTCTATGATCTCATCACGTTTTAATTACCACACGGTCTTAACGGGCTGTACACACAGGATGTCCTATAACTATATCAACTAACTTTCATAGGTGTTGAATACAATTTATAATAAAATATGTATTAGATTAGAAGATCAAAAAAATCACAATAAAAAAAAACTTGGTGTTACATATGATGTCATATTTATAATGAAATTAAATGGATGAATGAATATAAAAAATGTTTATTTCAATAAAAGCTCTCTTTTAATATGCGCTTTTATGAAATAAATAAACGTGTTTTTTAGGTACCTAATTAGAATTGTCGGTCATTGGTACATGGTATCTATTCTGTATATTATTTTATTATCTTTTCGACAAGTTAAACATAAAAATAATAAGTATAATTAAGAAAAAAATTAGGACAAAAATAGCATTAAAAGAAATGATAGGTATACTTAAACGTTTTTGATTACATGTTGATTACCTACATTATTTTTAATTATATTTTATGACATACATATTGACTATCTTACTAATATACTAAACTCTATTAGTGTAATATTAGTGTAGCACTAAGGTTTTTTAGGCATGTGGGTCAGTGATTAGTAGTTTTCTTGCCTAAGGCATTAAAGGATTCGATACCGTACATAAAACGAAAAAAAATCAAATTAAATTTAATCAACTGACACGGTTTCGAAAATCGTTCGATATATTTATAATTTATAATATAATAATTTAATATAAGTGACTTATAAATTCGATTTTTTTATTTTCTTCTTATAATTTTATTAAAGTAAGTATTCCCAACACTCTTTGATCTTAAATATTCTAGGTGCCTACCTAACATTATTTAAGTCAATATTACATTATTACAACGATTGAATAACAAAGGTACAATCTACCAATAAGATAAGGTGTATAAGGTTCACAAAACCGAAAGACCGGGTTTTGTGTTTTATAAAGCGGTATTTCCAATAAACATTAAAATTAGATAATCTCAAGTCGTGAACATCGACCTTAAAACGCAAATACATATTTTGTAACAAAAACAAAATTCATGTATAACATTAAGATTTTAGATATTTTAGCATATTTAAAGTAAAAATAAATCGTTCTCTAATGAAAAATCAAAAATAAAATTACAACTGTACGAAATAAACATTGAAATATTTTCCAAACATGCAATTCCACATTCGTCGTCTGTCTATTGTATACCTAACGAATGAAAACAGCACAACAATTTTTCCCCGCTTTATAATATCCCTTGTTATTTTACCGGCTGCTATTAATATTCTTTTCAGATTTTGTGCTGGGACTAACAATGGGATATTTAATTTACCTTACGTCACCTGCCCGTGTGTAACGATTTGTTTTCGCATAACAATGTTTACCTTGAACCTTAAATATTAAAGTATTATTAATCGAAATTTAAAAGTCCACATTCAAACGACTTAAAATGTTTACCTACACGAAATGTTTGGATGTAAAAACAACCTAAACGCGTAAATTGTATTTGCTAATGAATTCCTATAATCCTGTGGAAACCAACATAATCACAGAGGCAAAATCTCAATTCAAAAGAATTAAAATTATGTTTGATTTTACAGTACCGATTACAACTTTATCGATCGGTACCTTATAGTTTAACGATTGTACCTTATACTATTGGTGACAATTCAGACGCATTTTGCTCTTTTAATTTATTATGTAGTTGAATCTTGAAGTTTAAAATACTTCACAAAATTCTCGGTTATTATATGGGTACATAATTTTAATTTATTGTCTAATAATAAAACCCCAATAAATGCATATTAATGTCGATGAAAAGTTTAATTTATTAACTCATTAATTTTCTTCGCGTTTATGTTAACATTACGAATTGATTTACATCATTTAGTAAATAATGTTCACTTAACGAATTTATTATTTAACTCGTTATTAACGTTTAATTGTAAAAAAAAAACGAAATTCTACACTGAGAATTTTATATTTTCCGAGATTCTATAGTAATACCGGTTAAATCGCATAATAATTTTTGTCTTCGTAGAAAAATATACCTACTATCGACTATTTCAGTTCAAGAGTTAATACCCTATGCAATGTTTCTTTTAGCGGAGAAATAAAAAAATCTTGCGGTGTATAAATATGGTACCGTTCACCTGTAACGTGTAAATAATACCTGATTTATAGGTTTCGAGTTACAACCGCGTGCTTGTTATCACCATAAATAATATTAAACACAACTGTGAAATAACATAACGTTTAAATAGAGAACCGTTTATTAACGTAAAGACGTCTTTTATGCGTTTTAGACACTATACTAACATGTTAGTATAAAATTAACATGCACATACTAAAACTATTATTCTTTATTTCAAAAAGTACAATTATTCATGTTTTATTTTATTTTTCAAAATCGTAGTTTTTATTTGCTTCGGTTTTATAATT